AAGTTGTGATCATTGAAACTGATCGATTAAGAGCTCTAATTGTTATTACGGTACAGAAAACGACTGGATCGCAATATTTTTCACTATTATGATGAATATCATCGAATTAATATCACTGAAGTTAAAGAATGAGAGAACAATACGAGATAAACCTTTTTTTGCACTCATCCACGTCAATATGATCGTAGCCAACTGACATTGAAGCGACCAGTTTTAGCTTCTTTGCATGATCGAGGAATTCTTTATCGATGTTATCACGAAGCTAAACATTCATATGAATTCAGGCAAATAGTACGTAATATGATGCTTGATATGACAACTTTGCAGGTTTTTCAGCTTTCATTGCAATGGTAATATGAGTTTATTAGTGACCCCTTGATTAAGTTCTTTAGGATCATCAATTTTTTTGAAGGACTCCAAACAACAGAAAAATGTGCCAGGGCAAACCCATCAATACTTCCCAGATTGAATTTTTACTCTCGCTTATGACGAAGTGAGATGAATGCCAATAAAACATTCTAATGGGCCGTGAATATCCAGTCGGCGGCCATTAGCCAGAGGACTTTCCTCTTATTGTTCATTACTGTATGCTTATCTCATCTTACAAACAATTATTTTAGCGCTGTGAACATAAGAAATGGAAGTATGATGAAGATATTATTCAGAGATATTCCGAACTTTTGAATGCACTTACGATCAGAAAACGTTACACACTCTTTTCATATCGACTATTGAAATCGTTAGATGTGATGAAGCAAAGACTAACCAAGCAATAGACAGCATCGTGTTTCGGTATCTCAGAGAGCAGCAAGTCACGAGGCATTGTTGGGGTATCTTGATAATGTGTCACGTTGAAACGCTCATAGATACGCGGCACAACCACCTCTTGTGCAGTCACCAAAATGCTTGGTACTGTGTTCGCGAACTTAGCTGTGCGCAATAACATCTTTGAGCCTGAATTGAGCAAATATTCTCAGCGATAGATTACTTCAACTCTTCTCCGTGATTTCGCTTTTACCTGACAGTTAGACCTCAGGTTGCTGTCACCCGAGGCAAATAACGTGAATTCATCTATTCCATCAGAATTTTCGAAAGCTAAACTCAAAGGAATAGAATCATTCGGTGATGACTTTTTTTTTTGTTTAGAAAACGTCGGAAAACATGACAGAAATTATGTTCTTATAGGAAATCTCTGCCCTCTTTCAAATCTTAAGAATAATTGGATTCATTTCGATCTAGTTTCAGGTTGAAATTTTTTTATTTTGACAATTTTTTGCGGAATTCATGAATTATAGGCAGCGCAAATTATCACCATGCTCTTGCTTAGTGTACAAAAGTTGTGGCAAATATTAAAACTGGTACTGTTAATTGCTTATTGAATAACTCAGTGACTTGTTGAAACTCCGTCATATGCACGAAATAATATCAAAATAACGGTTATCTGAAAGCTGCGAAACAGTAATCCTCACACATAATCAGTAATCCTAAGATACGATATACAATTCAACTAGAATTTCGAACGCTTCGACACCTTTAACCTAATGCAACAACATTCGACAGCATTGCAACTAAAGCGATTGCACAGCAAAGACTTAATGATAGCGATACAAGGAGGACAATGCTGATTGTGAGCGATCAAATGAGAGTAGATAACCGAGAATGGTGCACTTAAGAGGTGCTTAATGAACGAAAAAACGAACGCCTCATAATGAAATAGTGAACGAATGACACGATACAGCGTTGTCACTGCTTCATGATTGTGAGTGATGTGATAACATTGTGAACAGTTTTAATTCTGCTTCGATTCTTTTC